GCAGCATCCTTCGGCGCGCGCCGCCCCACGACGCCGCCGTTCCCAGAATATGCTTTCAATGAACTATTTACAGAGAAACCACCGCGCAGCAGCGCAGACGCCGCTATCGCCCGACGCCGACCGAGCGCTCGCGCAGGCCGCGCTTCTCCCGCGGCCTGCATGGAAACTATATCCAGCATCCAAGAACAAAACGAAACAAACCTCATCGTGTGCGCGAGGAGGCGCGTCTAGCGTCAACGCAGCTCCGGCTGCTGTTTCCTGCTGTCGCCGTCGCCGCCGCCGCCGCCGCCGCCTCCCTCCCTCGGGCTGCTCCTCCGGCCTACCGCCAGCGTCGCTCACGTTTGCCTCGCGTCGACGCCTTTTAAAACGCTCTTGGCTTCACCGGCCCCCTTCCCCTTTTACTTTCTCGCCTATTCCTTACATAGTAAAGAAAAAGGACCATAATGCTGCAGCTCAACGTGGCGACATTTCGGCAGAAAAAGGCTTACGGGGCCCTGATTTCGAAAGAGTTGATACGTCCCGTTCCTTACTTCCGTTAACGAGTTGTGTAGTCAAAATCTGCGATTTGCGGGTCCTCGATACCGAAAAATAGGTTGACGTCAAAACGTCAATCTGTCCATCTGAGATCAACGCTAGCTTCTACAGCCCTAAACACTCTTTCGCAAAACTCTCCAAAATTGACATTCCCCGAACTAACTTGAACTGGGAGCTCTAAGAATTTGAATACGATATTTTGAATTTGAGGTTACTTTACGTAATCCTTAACAGTTTCAAAATTCTCAAAAGTAGCTCCAAATAATTTAATTATATTTTCTTCTCGGAATGAGCAAAGGACGCTTTAAAACATTGCAGCTCTAACTTTTGTTGAAGTCTATGAATTTTCAAAACTGCAAAACTTTAAAATTATTTCGGCGTCTTCCCACTACTACAATATTGATAATAGATATTTTTCCTGATTAAAATTTGTTTTTTCAAGACAGATCTTTAAATAAGATCATATACAATTTTTGGAAAATATGAGTACTACTTTCGCGTGAAATACAGGCAATTTAAAGTAATATATTTTCTCAAAACTGACTCCACCTTTTCTTCTTTTTTCTCGAATAGGACAAAGTACACTAACAAAGACCACGCATGTCCCATTTTCTGTAAACTCTGTATTTTAACGCAAATTGCAAAACTAAAAAACCGGTGAAACCTGTTTTTCCTTCATGAAACTAAATTGTGTGTGTGAACTTCCAAATGTCTTTCGACCTGCATGGCCGTGCTGGCAAAGAGCGTGAACCGTCTAAGCGCTTCAGTCCGAAGGGTGGTGGGTTCGAGTCCCGCCTTGGACACGGTTGTTTGTCCCATGTATGTGTTGTTACGGAGAGCCACGCGTCTGCTGACAGGGGCCCGCAGGCATGTTGGTGGCTAATGTATGGTCGAATATGTGTCCACATTTTCAGTGGTTGGTTGTTCTCGGGGATTTTTTCGGCGAGGGGGAAGGGGAGGCACGATTTTTAGCTTGGCGCCCCGAAGAACCTGAATCCGCCCTGCCTCTTGCAGATTTCTTTCCTTGTAACCTCTTTATTCCTCTCCTCTGGCTCCGATGTTATCGTCCATCGCCACACCGCCTAAAGCCTAAACGGTTCTTTGCTAAAGCTGCCGCCTCGGTCGCGACCGACCCTCCTCCAGCTCACAGTAAGGAATTCCTCCGATCTACGAGTGAGTAGGCCCAAATTTCCAGTGACTTGTTTACGTGATGCAAGTGTTTGGATTGCGAGTATTTTACACAATCCCTTCTGAACTGAACATCATCGACAATGGAACGGTGAATTCCGGCCTTTGTGCCTCATTTTGGGTAGCGAAAAAACAGGTTTAAACTATTTCCCTCCGAGATGTCACGAAAGACGTCCTAAACGTAGCAAAAATGTCAAAATGTGAATTTTGGTAACTAACGGCAATGAGCCTGTTTTGACAGCAAACGCCTCTATGTATTATGTGTAATGAAGAAAACAATTAATATGTCTGCGGGGTAAATACCCAAGAAGTCGCTTCGGGTCCTCCGGGAAACGCCATTTCAGAAGTGTTCCGAGGTGGCACAAACACCAGCGCACTACGAACAGCACACCGAGGGCCGAGCTGCCAACCGGGGAGTTGTTTCTCCCGTCGAGAAGGGGGCGATTTCGCACTGTGCGCCGCCTCCGCCCCGCACCCTCCTCACGGTGCGGTGCGGCGCGGCGCCTGAATAGAGAGGGGTCGTCGCCGATGCCCACTGAAAGCCCGGCCTGTTCTCCCCGGCGGCACCTGGGCCGGCTGAGGGCGAACGCGTGCACGTTGCACGGCACCATGTGTTCGTGAAAAAACAACGAAATGTTGCACGAGGGCGTTGGAGATGGGATGAATTTGTATCCTCTGGCGAATATTTACCAAGTTTCGGTTTTGGGGTGAAGGGGAGGGTGGTGTTTAGTACGAACTGCAGAAACAAAGTGAAATTCGTACTATTTGAATAAATAAATAAATAAATAAATCATAGCGCAGAGCAATAAAATATTTTTGTATTGTTGTAGTAACATTCTGTTCAAAGATCAGAACACTAAACCTATGCCAGACAACGCCCAACAAACCACTAGAAAAAACTGGGTTACCACTCCAACTACCTAACGGTAAAGCTGCTGGACAGCAGAGAACATTTACAGCCTATGGCATCGTCAAGGTTTTTAAACATTCCTCTTCGTTTCTCTCATGAGGTAATATATTTATACACAACAATATCCAGCTATAACTAGTTTACATAAACTAAATATAATAGTTCGTATAAAATACAATAAACCAACTCCTGACTATTCGACCATATTTTCACTTGGCATCACGAGACTATCGACTAATTATTTTACAGTTGCTGCAAGATCTGATGTAATGAAATAATTTAGCAATTTCACGAAGAAAAACTAACGGGCACTTACGTCAACACCCTGACGAAGGGCAGATCTGCATGTTTCTGACATTCCAGGGTGTGTCAGGGCGGTGGCTCGTGTACTTTTTACACACTTGCAGAGGGTTTTTCTTATATAAAATGCGAACTTGATACTCGTTTCCCATAAAGTTCCTCGCGTACTCGAAGTCAGCTAATGTCATGTTTTCTCGAATATAAAACCACCTCCACCTCCCATTTTTTCAAGTTTGACGAGGTCTAATACGCGAGTATCACGAAATGCCATGAAATTACATTGTCTTTTCTTTTACATTAATATCAATGGACAGGTATTTTTATTTCCGACATCCCACCTGAAATTCTCTTAGAATCGGCTTACAATAAAAATGTCCAAAAATTAGCATTTTAAAACATTATTACAACGAATAACATACGGAGGGTTTATACGTGAGTAAAGCCTATATTCCAGAAAATGCTGTAATTGTAGGTTGGGCGTTCCGACGACACAATTGATAGCTTTTCACAGAACCTTTTATTTTCTTTATTTAATTGCATTCTGTAATCCTATTTGAATATCTCTTATTAGCTGAATAATAATTAAACTACACAAAACTATACAAGAGCTCATTAGATATAATTTGGCTTTGGCTCATATGTACACTTTATGATTTGCCCTCAACATTAGCAAACGATATTGAAATTTGTTACCAGGCATTCACAGAGAAGCAAGCAGTTTCAGCCTGGGCATTGATCAGCAATCCAGCTTTCGCTTTTGAATCGTGTATATTCATAAGATTTCGGTTTCTTTGAATGTGTGGTGTTCTTTACAAAAAAGCGTATTCTTAAGAATGGACATGAAAAAGTAAATACTACCACAGTAAAGAAAAGAAAGTTTAATTGCAAAAGTATACATTATTTCTGAGACAGTTTATAATGTGGTTACAATTCTGTTAGATAATTTGATAAAAAATATTTACATCAATTAAACGAGTTGCTCCAAAGAATAACTTTTTCTACAAATCCTTGTGTAGTAGATGCTATTTTACACCTTAGGGTCTCAGACCACAAAGCTGAGATCAACGCCATCTTCACTTCCACATCTGCCTGATAAAGATGTGGGGTTAATATTGGAATACTGAAGTATCCAATATTGTTACTTGATTTCGTAGTTTTTATTGGCTCCGATTACGCCCTTGCCTTCATATAAATAATAGTCGAATTCACGATGTTCATGTATGGTGACAAGTGGCATTTTTTCATATTTTGACTTTTTGCTCCTTTTCGTTTCACTTCTTTCTCGCTCAGTGTCAATGTTGTGTCCTTATGAACTTCACTGCTCATACGAAAGAAAGTAACGGTCCAACTCAGCATTTCCTTCAAGTATCCCGCAGAAAAGGACAAAACCAGCATCCGGATGGCGGTCATTGCCCGAACAGCAAGGAATTATAAATGTGTAAATTACACACATAAGTTGCACTTTCGTGTTATATTTTTGTTTCAAAATAGGACTGACGATTGGTAAAAATGTAGACAAGAATCTGTCCTCAAAACAGGAGCAGACTGAAAAATACAAAGTACACATAAATTCACAATTACAATAAGAGATGTGTTAAGATAATCTTCCAAATTACACTTTTCCACAAATTACACAATTACTCTGTACAAAACAAATTTCGAAGGAAGGGGAGAGGAGATGATGTTCTGAGCAGAAAAGAAACAAATTATCCAGGAACGCCCAGAGAAAACAAGGGGCATGTGACAGGAGATCAATGGGTGCCTCTTATTTCCAACTCAAGTTCCCCTTATTTATTTATTATTTCTATTAATAATAATATTAAATTATAAAGAGAATCACATCTCTACTACAGTTAATTTCTTTTCAAAAACGTATTGCAGGAAATTCATTTTGTATACATTTTCGGGCCCCACTTACATGGGGGTTCCGGGGCAAGTTGCCCCACCCTCTGAACGCCCCTGAAATTACCAACTCAAATCCTATTGGAAATCAGCACTTCATTGTTCCAACAGTATATTTCTTAAATCAGCTGATATATCCCTAAGTTTCCCAAGTTGTTTTTTGTGACGAAGGTTGATGATTTTAAAATCAACTACATGTGTTGAAAATAAGAACTATTTTAACTGGTGTATTACGAAACCCCTGGCAGCACGAAATGCATATTATCAGTACTGTTTCTAAACTCTAATGAACAATACATCTCCAGAAAAGGCAACGATTGCAAACAAAATTATAATTTGAATGCGAGTTGGCTCTACACGTATTCGAAAGGAGTTAAGTGCCCTTAACACCATGTTCTTGGCTACACACTCGTGATTCATAGTTTCATTAGAGCATTTAAATATCCTGTGGTGGACATTTTTCTACTTGTGGCCAAATATCGGTAATTCATACGTATAGCCCGCGAAGATTAACTACCTCTCTGATCAATCATTTGGACCATAAATCGACATAACGGTGCAAGAAAACCTTATTTCCTGGCATAACAGAACTTGCCAGGACACTAGATGAGTTGAATGTATCGTTAAAACGTACACGCAGTGCTCGGGGTTTCTTTGATGTTTGGAAGATGAATCTTCTGAAGACCTCATTGACAATGTATTAAAAACGTCTGTGGTTTCCTCGGCAAATTTCTTCTCTTTCTGTACAGAATGAGGCACAATCTAAAAATGAATTGCCGAAACATTTTAGAAGTGGATAATTAGAAATAGTTTAAAAGAAATAAGTATAATTAATTAGGAGAAATTAATTCTCTTCTCGTAAAACCCTCGTAAGTTGACAAATACGTGAACGAATGTAAACAAACATCCTTGGAATCAACGAACAGTGGAAACAATTAACAGAAACAAAACAACATTGCGTTTGACAGCAAAGGCAAAGTTGTAACGATAGGGAGCTTGGGGGATATCCTTTTTTCATACAAGCAAAGTAAACAAACTGAGGAAATGTATGAATGAATTGCATTAATTTTAACCAGAATTAATTTTCAAAGCTGACTTCATTTAGTCATGATGTCATGTTTGACCGAGGAGGAGTTAAGAAGCTTTCGTTAGATTATTGCTCACGCAGGTGCTCACATCGCGTTCACCGCAAGACCCCCAACGCCGAGTAACGGGCCGCGCGTGGGAGCGCCGTCTCAAGACGCGAAGGCTCTTGCGCCAGCGGTACGATGGAGTCGCCTGCTGCTTCGACAGCCACAACACCTCAATAGCTTCGAACACCTAACGCAAGTCGCAATTCCAGACTTCAATTCAAACCTCAACTTCTTGTCCGCTTTGCAATACAATGTCAAGCATCAAACTGTCATGAAACAGGGATCACGAAGCACACTTATGATAATCATTGGCAGATTGATGACAAACAACCCTACGGCAATAACATATCTGGTGGAGATTTTTTCAATTATCTAATCAGAAAGAATTCCATTTTAAATCGGACGCGGAATCAACTGAGACATAAAAGAGGAGTTACCAAAGAAACACTTGATTTCCTCAAATCAAAAGACCTCTGAGGTGTCAAGTAAAAGAGTTTCAGAGCAAAAGAAACAAAACTAAGTAAATCTCACGGGCGATATATATATATATATATATATATGCCAAGGTATTCATAAACACATCAATGATCCACAAGATGAATCTCAATGAACGATGGCACTCTCGCCTCCTCGACATAACTGCCTGGGCGAAAAAGAAAAATAGGACCTCAAACAAATGACCCGCAATGACCTGGAAGAATCCGGCCACAACTGCCGTTACAGAGATCCCGGAGACCGCATATAGATTCGCCTCAAAGCTGTAATTACTAAGATTTTAATTCTTCCTATTCTTCAATAGTCGGTCATCGTGCCAATTTATTAAATTCTAGCGTGACGCTTGCAAGACAACTAAACAAGCAGTGGCGGTAAAGTCAACTTACAGTGTCTGCGGACTCCGAAGCTCGCCGCTGGCGTTGAACACAAAACAGTGTTGCTCTGCAGCCTGCCTTCTTCGTCAAAAAAGACTCCTCGTCCCGCGTCACGTCAAGTGTGTTGCACCTAACAGAGTCACGTTGAAGGGTGTCAACACTTCCCCAACTTTCAAAAATTAAAACTAAAGTTTATAATACAAAGGAATAGTGCCACAAAAAACAGGCAAATGAATATACAGCGTCAGATTTCAAATTGTAACATTCACTAACACTATCCCAGTAGAACGACACAGAATGACACACAAAACCCACGAGAATAAACGCGGAACATGACACGCGGGGAACACGACACAGCGTAACGCTCGGTATCCTCCCCGCAAACTTGAGTTCTCAACTTCGTTGGTTGCATCTGGCAACCCCTTCCCCTCCCCCAATCACGTGACGGGCGCATTGAATGTTGGGAACCCACAGCGCTAAGCTCGTATAAGTGGCCAATCTCACAAGTCCTAGCCGTGTCTAGCCGCTCTTCACAAAGACATAGGTTAAAAGTGGAAATTCACGCCTGTGGATTTGGCATGAGCATATTGTGTCTCAAAAAATCTTTGGAGCAGTTTGCTTGAGATCTCTTTGCGGAGATGTTGCAAAGAAAATCCCCTTGCCAAAGTCATTGCCTCGTGCAATGAAACCCATCCGTCAGTGGAATCCAAATAAAATTTCACAATGACAGCTCAGGATCTTATTTGCCGTTTATTAAATTAACATCGAACATTCCCATGTATCAGTCAATGGTTATTCCCTCAATCATTGTTCTATTATGAATTCTTCTTAAAAGGCATCTACATAAATTAGAATTTATTAACATTAATGCTACTACTACAGTAACGCTGATGCAAAAATCTTTCATCATTTAGACTCTTCGATTCCCTGGTTTGATTTCTTTGATTCTTACGTTTTTCTCATCATATTTTTCTTTACTTTTTTCTTTCAATTTTATTTTGTTACGCTTCCAACATTCTCTTCATATTCTATTCCGAATACCCTTTAAAAGAATAAATATGATCAATGTAATCGCATGACAAATATATCTTCGATTTCATTCTGACTTCTAAGAATTAACAGCAACAACCCCAAAAATTATTTGGAGAAACCAAAACGTGACTATTTAACTTATGCAGTTATTGTTCACTTCACATTAACATAAAGATTTGTTAAATGATAATTACTGTAAACATAATGTACACAAAGCAATAGTCCCAATTTCGTAAAGAAGACAGAATAATGACATTTAGATCACGAAACGTGAAAAAATATTTCAGTAGTTTTGAGATAGAGAATGATAATTTTATTACCAACTTCTCATTTAATCCAATAAATTAAACTTGGAAAATTTAGAGAATCTAACAAAATATGCAGATTCCTATTGATCAAATATATCAATTCATTGTTCAGAAAACATCCAGAAAAATACGTTCAAATTAATATGGTCAAATAGATTTGAGAGGATACTTTGGATGAATAATTAACACATAAAACAATTTATGAAATATAATTTTGTGTTAACTGGAGTGAACCAAATGGAGACTTCACATCACAATCGTCCTTAAAAATCTGTTTGAATTAAAAGTATTGTTTTTGTAGAAATTTGATTTTTATGTACAATAGAAAACTGAACAAGATTACTGTAGATGTTCTAGACACATGTAATTCATGTCAAAACTCAAAAATAGTTTTGTTCTTGTTTGTCAAAAATACACTGAGACCCTAGGAACCATTTAAAATAATATGTTCACTTTAAGTGAGAGGTCTCCCACTGCAGTAACAAAAACAAAAGAAAGGGAAAGGTTGATGAAATTTAAGTTCTGCAAACATTTTTGGATTAATTAGTTAAATTAAATATTTTTGTTCATTAGAAGCATAATCTCCTCTTAACTGTAAAACTTTAAATTTTTAAAAGTTTATTATTTTATTATTAATGCAAACATTAATGTTTTACTCGATAAAAAAGTATCTTATTTTTAATTTTAATAATAATCTTTTTAATAAAAAGAGGTTATCACATGTGATGACAGTTATCCTATGATGTATGCTATTAAAGTATGCAAAAGTATGGTGTATTATACACTAATGTACAATAATTTGATTGTAAACGGCCCTTTTTATTTCCAGGGAAAATTAACACAATGTGTAAATGATTGGTCCAGAACTTACATTCACACTTAATAATGCATGAACTCATGAGCTGAAAATACCTTTGTAAATGTAAATTACCAACTACAACTACAAAATTAACACCTATTTGTTAACTGTTTTACCATTTTAAGATTTAAATTTATTCCCCAGTAATGACTGCAAAGTTCCTAGTATGATAATTTCCTGCATATTCGATGTAATTAACACAAAAATATGCATTTTATGTCCTTTTCCTACCAAAAAAAAAAAACCTGTCCTCAAAATAACATATTGCATTTTTACATTAAAAATACATTTTACATGAAATACGAATTTTATATTGCAACTGTTCAATCCGCATTTCCAAGGAGTTCTGCCTGTATTTAAGGCCATAAAAATTTGTTTTGACCAAAAAACATGTTCCTCGTAGTGAACCTAAAGACACGCTAGACAAATAGGTTTCCCAGGGCTGTAATGGCTCCCAAAACTATTAGCTACCACATTGTTAGCAAGCATTATCATCTTTTATACAAATTAAATATAAAAAAAGCACTGATTTCTTGAACTTAACAAGTTTAATTAATGTCACAGAAAAAATCTATTACAAATTACATATTAATGGTGAAGGATAAAAAACATATTTTCTTTTGATTATATATTTGATTTTGAAAATTAAACATTTAGAGACTAATTTTCAGGTACTTTGGTCTCTAAAAACTAACTCCCATAAAATTCAATCATTCTTGAAATGTGTTGGAGCATGTATATTCAGTACGAATCTCATAAAAATTCAAATAACCAGTGGCAATGTAAGGACAACTGGGGCATGGGACATTAGATTGGTGGAACAACCAAGCAGGGTCTGAATTGGTAATTTTCTTCAGAGAGGGACCTTTGAAGAATGAATATTGAAATGCATACCATCTTCACATAAGCAACACAATTTGAATGAATCCTAATAATGCTGTCAAGAATGTTTTTGTACCCAATTTTTGTCATTTAGATTCCTTCACTTGAACCCTTCAGACTGAGAAAATCTTAAATATGGCACCTAATATTGAATAACTGTATCCGTGATGAAGAGAAATTAATACTTCTCCAAAAGGAGTATTAATTTCTAATCCAACACTATAAGTAGTCCTGTCACCGTGTCCAAGGGTCTCCTTCAGTGGCATGGTCATATTAATATCTGAAGGAGCCAGTGCATGCCCAAGCTACAGGATTCTCTAACAATTCTGAAATATTGAACTCGTGTAATCAAATTGAATTTCAAAATTATGTATCACTTTTTACAGAAAATTAAGTAAAATATTTCCATATATTTATAATCTGGTATAAAGGTTCCATAGCAAAGCTGTATATGCAATAATCTACCCATCTCAGTATCTGGGGGTTTGATAAGCAGAGTGTCCTTTTTGGCATATCAGTAGGTAGGTCCTATTGGTAGATCAGGCCTAAGGCGAGGTCTTGCTGGCCTCCATTCTTATGCTATCACTGCTTTAATGTGTTGATTATTAATGTTTCGTAAATAAAAAAATTTAAGCACAGAAACAAGAGAATCAATATCAATATCTCATGAATTCTAATCTTGTGAATTCACAATTTAGTTTTAGGAGAACTAAATGTTGAAGCTCCAATCCTAAAAAACATTGCAAAATGTTGCATGGTTGCAGCCATTTCTTACTTCTACATTCATAATACTTTTTTTTACCCCAGAGGATTTATTTTAGTATTTTTTGCCAAATGAAATATTTGTAGTAACTTTTCAAAAATATTTTTCATTTATTTCTAAAACCAATGTCACAGTGATATATTAATTAAATTTATAATATTTTCTTCAAATGAAGTTCAGTAAATTCCTGAATCTCTATTTGTTTTCATTTAGCAGTTTTTTGTTTCAGCTTATTGGTCTCATCACTGCCAGCTATTAATAAATACACACATTTCTATATATGGTAGATATTTTTCAACCATTAAAGGAAATATATTAAGAGTAAATATATATAAAGTGGATATATAAGGAATTTAAATTAAATGAATGCCTCTTTTTAAATAACTTAGTACTGTCAAATTAGGGGGTCAATTAGTACATAACCCTATCACTATCATATGTGTAGCCAGGGAAGAGGGCAATTTGTAATATACATTTCAGGATAGTTCCTGAGGTCGCTCTTCAAACTCCTTTATCAAAACCTAAAAGCAACATGGAACTATCTTTTCCAGACTTTCAATTACCTAAGTTCCAGTCAAAAAAATTGTTTACAAATTGAGTGTTCTTTAAACCTCCCTGCCCACTTTGTAACAGAAATTACTCATACTTACAAATGTTCTGAGATGAACATCAGGTTTTTAACCCCCCTCCCTGAGTTAAAACAAAGTTTTCTTTAAAATAAAGACCATTTCACATACATTTTTCATTATATTTTTGTAATATTTATTGTTAGATATTAATTATATACAGCCTAGTCTATAGTCATCAGATTAGGGCGCTATGGCAGGCTTTAACCTTGCATGGATGTAGTGCCAGAGTACATACATATACACATATATACGTACATTAATAATATAATAAATATTACAAACAAACCAAAATTCAATACATATTGTATTAAAAATTTAAATTTTAAATATAAAATAACTTTCATTATAATTTAAAATAAAACAAGTAATATTAAAAAATATTGTGAGAATGTACATTTTTCATCAATCCCTTCCCATCCTTGTTTAGCTCTCGGAGTATATCAAAGATGTGAAAAATCTTGCCATCTAAAAATGGTCATAGGTATTGAATGGCCTCTTATTTTCCACTATTAACAGAAGAGCACTCTTTCTTTCCCTAAAGGTATAACAAAGAAAGGATGAAATAAAAAAACAAAAACAAAAAATGCAGTAAAAATTTTAATATACAAAGTGAAATACTACAAATTATTTTTGTTGTATCTATGTTCCATTATCCTTCTAATATTAGCATTTACATTTGGTAATGGCTCTCCTCTCCTTACTGCAAGCTGCAAATTAAAAGGTAATAGATTACTTTTCCAACAAACTAATAGAAAATTAAAATTTACAATCAAAAGAAGGTTAAAAAAAAAAAAAATAATAAAAAGGAAAGATATAACAACCACAGGAATTAAAAATCAGCAAATTTCAAAATTTGGTTACAATTAAAAAAGTTCATATTTTGTAAACAGCAGAATTATGGGTAATCCATAAAACTAAATCTAACACCTTAGACAACAGCTGCAATATATTGCAACAAGAAATAGGAATGTACACAGATGTCAGAGAATTAGAGTTAGAGTTATAAAAGTTGAAAACGGCAGAGTTTGTTTTCAATTTGAAATTTAAAAGGCCTGTAAATTTGTTTAAAAATAAGTGAATTTATTATTTCAAAATAAAGATATGTCCCCAATATTTATTTCTATAACTGAATCCATTTAAACTATGATATTTATTCAGTGTCTATTCAATAATGTCTGATGTGTGCTGAAATTGAAAGAAAACTATGCAGCTCCTGGCTAAGTGAAAAGTGTCTATGGTTTCATTTGTCACCGCGGAAATAAGGAAAAATCCAGAATCAATGATACAGTTTCAATTCCACATATTTTCATACTGCACATATTGACAGAATTGCATACGCGGTGCATCTCTGCTAATGACACAGTTCATGTTCTATAACTGCAAGCCCCAAAGGAAGAGGCCACCCGCAATTAAACATTCACGTTCTACAACAACAACAACAACAACAACTATTTTGATATTCTAGGTATGTCAAGAACAGTATAGTATAGAAGAATTGTACAGTATAAATACATTATACTATTATATTGCAGTATCTGGGATGATTGTTTTAATTAAATTATTTAATTTGTTGCACTGCTAACAAACGTATTTTATCTGTAGTTCTTGAGTAGTTGCATGCTACTTGGTGGAAAACCATGTTGTGAAAATTTGTTCAGCAGCATTTTTGCTGTTCTAAGGCACTAGTTTGGGTTTAAAGTTACAGTATTAAAGAAATGTTTATTCACTGTCCATAAAGAACTTCAGGCAATGTTTACAAATTGTAACTATCTATTGATTGTCAAGAACTATTCAGTACGTTAAAGCACACCAATTGCATTACGGATACACTGTAATGTGTACAAATAGTGGGCTAAATTCATTGAAATTGTGGTTTAACCAATTAGGATCCAATTTGCTCTCTTACATATTGCAGGGAACAGCATACAATACAAAATGCATTCACTAGTTTTCAATTATCTCATGACTTCATTACAGTGAGAAGAAAAGATTAGAGAATGCATATATTTATGTCAAAAAGAAGGGAAAATTGGCTGATTATTATTTAAAACAAAAGCAAAAGTAATTTACTGGTATGTTGCAGTTTGAATAAATGTGAACATCTAGATCATGGCAAATTTGAAAAATATATTAAGAAATGTGATCAGATTTCCAGGCTATATAAGAAAAGGAATGGAAGATTATAACACCAAGAACCAATACTGTACATAACCTTACATTGCAACTATAATAAAATGTTACCATTGCACAAATGTTTACATTGCAAATTTGGTCTCTTTCCACATTATATTATTTTTTTGGATATGTTTAGATAATTTTTAAAATACAACTAATATTAAAAAGTTAATTTCACCTCAATTCTCTGAACAAGATCAATTTCCAAAGCACCAGAGACAAAATGTGATATGTGGCAGTTTTCAGGACTACCATATCGGCCCGTTCGACCACATCTGTGTATGTAGTCAGCCATATAAATTGGAAAATCATAATTTAAAAGATGCTTCACCTGAAACATTCATTCATAAAAGAAATGTTCAGTAGTCTGTACATAAAAAATTATTATAAATACAACCACATTACAACAATATCATACATACTCTCACTGTGTCAAGACCTCGGGATCCCATATCTGTACTTGACAATACATCAACTTCTCCACTTTGAAATTCTCTAAATTTCCCCAAACGAAAATAATAATTCATATCACCATTCAAATTCGAGCATTTTACTCCATTTTCTTTTAAAAACAATGAAATCCAATCACATGTTGCAGTTTTATTACTGGAAACATAAGAGGAATTGTGCAAAATGTAATAATGATAATAGTAGATGGTTGTTTCTCAAATGTTTGCAAGTCAAATTTCTTAGATGATGGCACTGCTCGGGAAAGTAAGTTATGCATTTCAGAAAAATACAAACTACAATGAAATCCCAGAAAAGGTAAAAAATATAATTCAAACATGTAGGAATTAATACTCTGAACATGAAAATAAGATTATATGCTGAGAGAAATTTTTGAAAAGATCCATATTTCTTTAAAATGGTGTTTCCAAATGGTAGTCAAATGGTTTTATGGTGATTTACACAATTAAGACTCCCAAATGCTTGGATAGTAAGCCACTTAAGAATCCACGAGTGCAGCCAAGGGTAGGAGGTCAGGAACACATTTTTAAAATTTTCTTCTTACATAAAAAAACATGCTACAAACATGTGCATACAACTCGATGCTTTTTGAACTCACACAGAGGATACTCTTTTAAAAAACAGAGGAAGAATATAAAAATGGGGAGGGGGAAAAAGTATATTAATATTATAAGAATATAATATTATAAGAATTAAGTATTTCATTCTTTATATATTAATGATTCCTTTATTTTAAGAAAACAAAAGCTCCATTTTCAATTTCATGTAAATGAGAATTTTGATTGTTAGAAAAAGTCAATTTTAATGTTATTAATTTTTTTATTTATTCACTCTATAAATTTAAAATTTATTGATATTTATTTAATTATTATACTATTTTATTATTTAATGCCATTTGTACTTTATCAATAATTATTGTTATTATCTTACTTATTCCTCTCCCTTCTCAATGAAAATCCTGGCTTCATCTAAGCCACCATTCAGGACAGTAAAGTAATACATTTTTTGAAAGGACCCAATAAAAGAATGAGAGTACATATCAATTACCTAAATAAAAAGGAAAAGCAAAATTGTTTACCTGAAAATTAGGACAGGATCTCTCCTCTGAACACTGGATTTCACAAGATTCAACAATTCAGATGGTTTCTGAGATCGACCAAGCCGAAAGAATTTTTGAGGTACATGTGGTTGGATACAATGTAAATGTTTTGTGGTCACTCTGTGTACTGTGTCTAGCTTTAATCACAAAAAGGAAACAAAAGGAAATAATTGTATATATGATTGTAAAAATGTAATTGAAAAGCAATTATTATATCATTAAACTTACAGGAATTGCTTCTCCCAAAATTTCATTCATACTGGTTGGAATAGTTGCAGATACCAAACTTATCTGCACACAGGGTTTTTGAAATTGCAATTCTGCACCATTTGTGGGAAGGAACTATGGTCAGAAAGATTTTGTTTTGGAAATTATACTAAAAAACCTTACTATTAGTGAAAACTATCTTTAATATATTATGTAAATTGAGACATTTCAAACATGAACATATTTAAAATGTAAAATTAATGTTTATAATTAATAAATATGATCAGGAAAATGTTGTTTACATATTAAAGCTGATATAGTCTTTACAATCTAAGTAAGCAATTACTACAAACTACAAAATTTTCACGAGATGAAATTAAGCAAATTTTAGGTTTTCATACAAAGATACATAGATAAATTACAACCTGGTGACAGCAAATTACAATAATAAAAAATAAAATAAACAGATTTTACAAGAATGTAAAAAATACAAGTCAAAATATAATACAATAAGATAAGTTTGTTATATCCAAATGATCTACGAATTTATATAGAAATAATACATACATGATTAATAACGTCCAATAAAACAATGCATAAATTAACAATATTTTCTGTTCTTAAGGACAGAAATTGTTTCACTCCCTCAAAACAACTTAAACATGTTTCTAGTTTCTGTGTGACAGAAAAGTTACACAGAAATAACTAGGGAGAGGATTTTTATGCCCTAAAAAATCTTGAAATATGCACTTTAATATGCAATTAAAGTAAACAATATTTCATTTACTGTGTAAACCTTTCTTGATATAATTCAGGAGAAGCATGCTCTGAATGAAAAGATATACTTTTATGCAAATATAATATAACACTTCCTTTTCTGGAGAAATAACTGAAGTAAATAGTAAATTTTTTCTTCTTTCATTTTTTGTCTAGTTTAACAAATATTCTATGTTTCTAATCTTTTCTTCTCACTGTAATGAAGTCATGAGATTATTGAAAACTAGTGAATGCATTTTGTATTGTATGCCGTTCCCTGCAATATGAAAGAGAGCAAATTGGACCCCAGTTGGTCCACTCACAATTTTAATGAATTTAGCCTACTATTTGTGGGCTAAATTCTTTAACAAAATATGCAAAATATATTCCTATAATTACACGAATATGCACCAACAGAAAAATTCAACCAAATATGCATCAACATATTAATCAACATAGCATCCTATATTCTAACTAAATGTCAATACATTTCACTTAGCTATGCCCTGATGCAATGGACAAAAAGATGCAAAATAATAGAAATCCACTCCCTAGTAATAACTAATAATAAAAAGTTTTCATTAGTAACAACATTTTATAATTTCATGTTTGCTTTTGGGGGCTCAGGTTTGTTTGACTGATGTAACCTCTGGCATGTACTTTCAATGTTCCTGTATCTGTACTTCAAAAACAACACTGCACGATCGAGTTGGGACCTGAACGCCTGTGACATCTCCTTGTAAATGAAAGAAGTGAAAATAAATTGTAGCACATTAAAACAACTTGTATTCATTTTCTTTGTGTTGTATATTAAAATTTATGATAATTGAAGTTGAATTTTTTTTTTGGCGATGCTGTCTACACCTGACAAGATTGTGGGCAAGTTGTGAGTGAAGGACACTACATATCAGTTTTGTATATTTTCTTTGTGATCTTAGATATTCAACTGATTAAAAATATTTACAAATATTGTAACTATTTAGTCTAACATCTTTTATTTGTTTTTAAAACAAATTAATTATCTGGTTAATACTTTAAGGTATTAGTATAAGTCTCAAAAAATGTTTCAGTACATGTAGAAAAATGTAAATAAATAAAGAGATCAATGTTATGTAACAAAATACTAATACCCCCAATCCTTATGTAACCGCGTAACGCTGCCTCAACCCCTCCCCCTCTTTTGCGTTACGTAATTTATGGACAGCCACTAACGCCCTCCCCGATCAGAGCGAGAAGTACGAATGTACAGAATACATGAGCTTTTAGGTGAATGCTGTGCTCACAATATTGGGCCAAGTCAAAAACTCGTGGTGCAGAGCGAAGTCGCTCCCCTTTCACCAAGGAAGTCCGGCTTCAATTTTCGTCGCTCTCTTGTGAAATTTGTTCCAACGAAACGAGTTTGGCTGCTCTACAAGCGCTAGTCCAGTTCCCTGTGAAGCGTCCATAGCCCTACCCCTACAGTAATTCCTTCTCCTTCTGGCCGCTGGATGGTAACGCATGAGCGCGTGGTAGGAGGCGCGTACGCCGACATTTTTGGCAAAAGCTTGGATTTAATTTAATTGGATTTAATGTCCACGCCTCGAGAATCGTTTCGATTCTTCGTGTTCATGCATGTCCTTCTCTTCCGCCCCCTCCCCTTCGGTGTCCCAGCTAATATTAACGAGGTATTCGTACGGCAACAGCAGGGGCATAAGAAACAAGAAAGCGTGCTACGCAGAAACGTCGAGCATTCCAACTAGCCCTATCTTTTCGGCAAGTTCAGTTAACTAGACTCTCAGTGATTTCCTATACAGGGCCAATATTATTTTTTCTTCTTTATTTTCTTCTTCAAACTGTCCAATCGTCCATAAAGAGTTTTTATTCAAATACTTCTCATAGTACTATCCATTAAAAAACAACATAGCGCACTTTATTGTCACTAAAAACAAGCAACGTATTTTGAAACAGTTTAATAAATCAATTTCTTAGGTGTTTACACGTCAAAAAGATCAAACCAAAAAGGTACATACCGAAAATCGACGTAGCAGGTATACAAGTTTTGAATTGAAACTATCATCTAAAAGTGTATCAGCTTCATCCAGAACAACGTGTTTAACATAAGAAATGTCATATATGCCTGATGAATAAAAGAAAGCAAAACATTAGAAATTATACCTACATTGTGATATTTTAACAAGTTAATGTTCTTACCAGTAGTTATCAATTTACTCAGAGCTCCTATACTAGCAACCAATATATCGATTTCTTTGAATGTTGGAGAAAGTATCATACGCTTCGTCTTACCACCGGTCACAACTTCGACATTGATTCCAAGACATTCCGAAAACAATTTTGCATTTTCCTGTAAGCAGAAATAAAATATTATTAAAAAAAAACATTAATTCCTTGTATGACTTGTTTACAAATAAGTAAGTGAAAATTAAAACCATAATTTTAACATAAATATTTAATATGAGTTTTAACAAAACTTGGATTCAAGTTTCACGATTCTGATAACTCATAAAAAACTTACTCCTATCTGATCGGCAAGTTCACGAGATGGCGTAATGACAATTGCATACGGAGAATTCATTTTCTGGCGAGGTGAAGTACTTTGATAGGTACAGATCTGTTTTAGAAGAGGCAAGAGGTAAGCAAAAGTCTTCCCAGAGCCAGTTTCTGCAGCCAATAAAGTATTATGGCCTTTCAAAATATGTTTAATTCCATCTACCTAAAAAAATAAAAAAATGAAAATACAGTGTAATACCAAATTAATTGATTTCGCGCTTCCAAATGTATATGAGAATGAAATACACATTTCCTGATCTTAAATCATTGTACAATATGCACAGTGCACACATCATAAATGAAACAGTAAAAATTAGTGGTGCCTAACAACATATTTTCTCGTATTATTCGTAACGGTTACGTAAAATAATACTAATTGAAAGCGAAAAAGTGTTCCCAACCAGCTAACATGTTTGCACAGACTAAGAGGATATTATAAAAACATATTTTATAAAAAAATCTCTTTATTAATGTATGAGAACGTCCAGAAAAATTAAACGTTTCGAAAATTCAGAGGCCGTTGTTAGTTCTACCAATTTCGCGATTAGTTGAGGCAGAGATTATCTTTTAAAGAACAGTCCAAACTAAAAGTTTTCAAGCTTAGTTCGCTTGAACAAAAGGAAGAAGCCTCGATTACATCAGTAACAAATCCAACAGCTTGAGTTGTTCATCTGAAGTGCCTGTGATTATTTTTTTTTCCATTTTCCATTTTTTTTGTTTTGTTTTGGTTTTTACGGCATTTTTAAAGCATTTAAAAGCATTTTATTGATCATTTTGGCAATGTTTTAGGTAATCAAAATCCACCCCTAGTGATTAGCTATTGTTTTCCACGTTTTACCTGCAATGAAAATAAACTACAATGGACTTAAACCGGCAATAAATGGTTACGCACAAACCAATTGCATGTACTGTTTGGATATGCTGTATTACGTTTGACTGTCTAACATGAGAATAAACATATTTTTGCAACAGTAGAATTCTCTTATTGTAATGCACAAAATGCGTTTCTCTAAAGGAATCTTATTTGAATTGTATATTGGTATTAATTAAGATCTGAAATATAAAATTAAGTAAAAGCATCACAGTTGACAACTACTTCCTTTATGTTTTTCGTGGCATAAAAACATAAAACAATATGTCATTCATAATAAAAATTCTGAATAACACGAGAGTCATTTCAGATGTCATGGCAACTATTTTTTAATCAGTCAATAAACACATTTTTATTTCCTGAAAGGAAATAAAAATCAGGGTGTACGATGCTAAGTCGCTGGAATGTTCTTCGCAATGCTGATACTAAATTGGGATCCAGCTACAAGGTGCTATGGGTAAAGGATATTGAAAGATGCGTAGAGAAAACAGTTTTATTCGTATTCCATATGCACAAAACACTACATTACGTGTAATCTTCGTACTCTTAAGAGCTAACAACCTTCTAAATAAACTCCCAAGGCGTCCACACATCCTTGTCAACGATGAGGAGGGCGCAGAATCCCATCAGCTGTGAGGGATGCGTCGATGCGTCGGTGCGCCGTCAGAATGTCCTCCCAGATTGCAAACAGCTTCCCACACAGACGCGTTCTAATTTTTGGAACGAGATCAAAGTCGCACGGGCTGAAATGAGGGGAGTGCGGAGGGTGTTCCGAGATCTCCCACGCCCACCGCCGCACAAGGTTGTGGCCTCAGGCTGCAGGGTGGCGTGTTGCACATCACGGAGGAGCATGGCCTTGTTGAGAAGCCCTGGAGATGAGCGACGCAGTGTGCAGCAGGAATGATCTATGTGGTAGTGGCAGTGACAATTTCCTCTTACCAACAAGATGACACACAATGATGATGATGATTAAGGTTTAAGGGCACTTCAACAGCTAAGAGCATTACGCACTGTAGCAGTGCCAGACTAAAACATTTTTAATGCAAGATAGGATGTAAGTAAAACTGAAAATAAACGCGTTCAATTTTAAAAAAGGGGTTGGCACAAACGAGCCAGATAAACACTCTAAAATCTTTAATTATAACCAAATAATTGCCATAATCCTCTTCTCTGAGATGTAAATGTCAGACTCTCGTAAGGAGCTAAGAAGCTTGCAGAGAGAAGATTCGTCATTTCCAAGTAGCTGTGCTAGAGAGCTAGCAAGGTGAAGCATTCAGCGGCTATCTCTTACCTTAGACCAGTGCAGGAGAACATGCTTCACGGTAAAATCCGTCTCGGAACTATCGCAAGTAGGGGGTTGGTCTCCGCGGAGATGTCCGTGGGAGAAATGACAGTGACCGATCCGAAGGCGTGCCAGAAGTATCTCCTCCCATCTTCACCCACGAGATGACGACCAAGGCCTTTTCAAACCTTGATTCTCGTGTGTTTAAAATGTGAGTTTTGCCACCCTGCCATGCACTAAGTAAACGTTTGATAAACAGCTGGGTATCGCTAGTTGGAACTGTGAGGATGTTTACCTCAGTTTCCTTTGTGGCGAACTTTGCTGTCTGGCCAGCAAATTTGTTCCCTATTATCCCAATGTGACCAGGGATTTAAAAAAAATTATAACGACGAACTAGTTAATTATGGATTTGGTGTTGGATGATTATTGTCAGAGGGTCACAAGAAGAGAAGCAGGAGACAGATTCGAGCGAGCTTTTTGAATCACTGCAGATCACAGCTTCTTTTAATGTCATCAATTCAGCGAACCCAAGTGCCTCCAAGAGCGCATATTTTTCTGCAGTATAAGCGCTGCACGAAGAGTCTAGTCGAAGACTCCGCATGGCACTGCGACAGTAGAAGATACACCCTACATTATTATTCTGGGAGGAACCATCAGTGTATATGCAGTTATAGCCGGGATACATGGATTCCGTCTCTTGGAATTCCGGCAGAAATGTACTGGGGGAGTTGAGGATTAAGGGAAGTGTGATAATCTCAGGTCTATTTTAGGTCGAAGAAGCTTCCAAAAGGAGCAAATGAAAGGATCGACGTCACCACAAAGCTCAACAGCCCAATAATTACCGACAACATGATAACATTAATGACAAAGACCTAGACAAATTGGGCACTAATCGAAGAGTATATTACGAACATTATGACTAAAAAAGAATATCAAAGAGATAACAGACACAATAATGTAAATTAATGACACTGGGTAGCCAGCTTGACTCCACCCCGAAGTAATGCGAAAGCGGTTCCGGGGTGGAACAGTCAAGGACCATAAAGGTTTTGTGGATTTAGTGGGTAAAAATCTCACACTACTGAGGAGGGCAGTCCCTCCAAGGTGTCTCTCGAAGATTTCCACAGTTCCCCTCGTAAAAAGGTAGTAGTAGTAGTAGTGGTAGTGGTGGTGGTGGTGGTGGTGGTGGTGGTGGTGGTGGTGGTAGTGGTGGTAGTGGTCGTAGTCGTGGTAGTCGCAGTCGCAATCGTCGCAGTCGTAGTAGTAGTAGTAGTAGTAGTAGTAGTAGTAGTAGTAGTAGTAGTAGTAGTAGTAGTAGTAGTAGTAGTAGTAGTAGTGTTAATTTGATACGAGTTTCCGCTAAATGACATGTGTCAACATTTCAAATTTAGAAAAGTAAATGGCTCAAGTTATCAATTGTAATAATGGTTATCATTTCCACCACGAAATTCCAAAATTCCAATCCATAGCATGTGCATGGAAAGGATAAATGGTAATAAGTGTGTGTGTGTGAGCCCGATGGTGATTTCGTGGTAAACCGAAGATGGTACGCGAGACACCATTACAAAGTACATCATATTTACAAGCGCAGTGTATGGGGGTTTCCATGGAACATACTTTCTCATATTCTTTGTAGCTTTTGTCGTTTTCAAAAATCAAGAGTTCAACAACAATGGTAACTGAGCCATTTTAAGCGGCCTATGCTCTACCCACGGGAAAATTAAATAATAAAATGTGGAACCTTTTAAATATTTGTACACATTTCTTTTATTTCTAGCAAAAATTACTCGGAAACTACAAGTTTAAAAAATAAATTGTTAATGAACTTACTTAAAGATCTAATTTGGTGGATTTTCGACATTAGCATTGTATCTCCTTAGGTCAAATTCAGCCGCTGTCTAAAAGAAAATTCTAGCGTCTGATTGCTCTGTCCGGTAGTTTTCCGTGATTTTTTTCAGATCAATACCGGGTGAAGGCCGGAGTAGTACCCTAATAAACGGGCCACGGACCGCGCGCGATATTCTCTTCCTCTTTCTTGTCCTATCCTCTCCCCTTAGACATATTTGAGATGTGTAGTACATAACCTTTAGTAAATAGTTTATGTAGATTGATGTCCTCGGGCACGTCAACTGCAGTGGTCATTAGTCTCGTTAGTACAGTGAATGTTATATCGCGGGAGGTGGCGGTGTTCCTTCAACGCTGGTTGGCGTTTCGACTCTAACCTCGTAGGCTTGCGGACGAATTCCCCCTCCAGGTATCCCCCAGCGGAGTATCGCCCCAGCCGGGACAAGCTCTAGGTCTCCCTATATATGCGGTGGTATAGTGCATGTGATGCAAAGGACGAGGACAGGAGAAAGAAGAGGAGGGAAAGAGTGCGCGCGGTCCATGCCCCATTTGTTAGCTTACTGCTCCGGCATTCGCCTGGTGTTGAATAAAAACACGGAAAAGAGCAGCCGGTAGCTAGAGTTCATTCGGACAGCTCCTGAATTCGACCTAGCAATCAAGCTAGTGTCGAAAATCTTGCCCCCTTAGGGACTCAAACTCTAGGATGTCCCGCACACACGTACTGCAGATACATCAATTGATGCCCTGAGCCACCTAAGCCGGCCTTGGATGTGAACAAGTACGGTGCTCGACAAACAAATTCACACCACTAGTTTGGAGTAAGGAGTTTAGAACTACAACAAAAATCCAGCTGTTTAAGTCATTGACAGAAAGCAAAATAACATATGGCTCTGGAATTGGGGTACTTAACCAAGCTGTGAGAAAGAGAATTAATAGTGTTGAAAACAGTTTTTGGAGATGCTGTGGCGTCACACCGCTTGATCATGTAAAAACAGAGACGATAAAAAGGCGATTAAATATAGAAGAATTGAAAATAAAAGATTGTTAGGGTACGGCCACTTACAAAGGTTGGCTTCAGAAAGACTCCACAAAAGGACACGACGGAAGAAAAGAGGTCGAAGAGAGAGCAATGGAAGGATGGTGTAACATTAGGAAAGGAAAGAAA